ATATTTTCCAGACTGGCCCTTCTCCAGTATTCCCCAGAAATGTGTCCACATTAAGAAATGTAGAATCCCTGTTTCCATCCCTTCTTATTTAAACCTATTAGACATTTAAACCTATTCGACTGTATCCTTCATTTATGGTTTAGGCTTTCTCTTAAACAAATAGTCTAGAGTTAACTGTAACCTTATTGTAGCCCAACCTAGAGCTGCCCGAAGAGGAGGAAGGTAGAAAATTAGCATTATATTGATGAGTCAGGTGCTACTGACATAAAATATGTATGCTTCATTCAACATTGTGGATGCAGAAAGTGTAATTCAGGATTGGTAACTTAACTAAGTCATGTTTGTACAACTGAGTTTCAAGGAGTTGATTCCAGGAATAGAGCTGCAATTCAAATTTTAGTGGGCCTGGTAAGCAGACTGTGTATTCTGCCAAAAGTGAATTCAATATCTTATCATGGATACAGCAAAGCTGCTGAACTTTAATCATCTTCTTTCATCAAGAGGTTAACAAGATGCAGAAAAACATTCGCCCTGAACTTCTGGTTTTCAAAGCATTTCCTTCAGGCCCTTACAGAACAGGTGATTTTATTTGTTTTACAGGAGAGGACATCAAATCCCAAATTGTTTGAAATATTTGTCTACAGTGTCAGGTCCCAATATATATTTCTCTCTATAAAGTCCATATTTGCTTTCCTCTTAAATATCAAACCCCACCTCTTTGACCATCTAACTTTTGTTTTTCAAAACTCAGCTTGATCATCATATTCTCCAGGAAACCCTACTTGGCAAAATTCCCTTCTTATCTCCACCATCTTATTTAGGTGTTCTTTTTCTGTATTAACACAGATTGTAGCTCTACTTGACTGTACATTACCTGATGATTTTTAACTTATAAGGAAAGCAAGGGTGAGATTCCTGTCACATTTAATTTTTTACTTAGTAAATATTTGTTGAATAAAAAAATGTCTTGAGATAGTACAAAGTGAGTAAACTCCCTAAGATAATGCTCATTCCTGATTATAGCAGAAAGCAAATTGAAAACATCAGCTTTCTAGAGAGAAACTTAGATAAAAGGACCATCACCAAGAAGCCATGGATCTCTGCAGCCAGGGAACATCAGATTCTGAAAACCATGAGATTTCAAACTAGATAGAAAAGAAAACAGCAGCATCTACAGTGAAGAGCCAAGTTCTGGAGTCAGACTTCTTGCATTTGATCTTGACTCTTCCATTTCCCATCAGTGACTTCACTTTCTGTGCTTTGGTTTCTAATCTGTCAAATGTAGTTAATGATAGAAATTATTTCTGCAACAAACTGCCCCCAACCTTACTTAGTTTCTCAAAACAAAACAGTTACTGTCTCAGTTTCTATGACTCAGAAATTTGAAAGGCGTTAAGTTCAGGGTCACTCATGGGGTCACAGTCAAGTGTATACTATGGTGGGAGTCGTTGACTGAGGCTGGAGGGTCCACTTGCAAGATGACTCACTCAGCAGTTGACTGGAGGTCTCCATGTTGCCGCAAGGAACTCTCCTTACAAGGTAACTTACCCACCACACCCCACCCCGCTCCCCAGAGCAAGCAAGAGAGGAAGAGCTAGGGGAAACCCTGATGACTTTCATAACCTACCTTCAGAAGTCACACACTGTTATTTCCACCACATTGTATATATATAGGGAAAGTCACTAAGGACAGCCCATACTAAGGGGAGGAGAAGTAAGCTGCACCTTTTGAAGGGAGCAGTAGCACAGAATGATGCATATTTTTAAGCACCACCACACTATCCTAGAGGGCTGAGTGAAGATTATAGGATAATGATTGCAGAGTGCTTAGAATAGAACTTCAATAGCACCTCACTTAAATTATCTTCCTCTTGGGTGAGAAAGGACATAATTGCTGTCAATCTGAAGCCTTTGGTTTGAAAAGTGTCTCTTAAAAATAGAGCAAGAATGTTAAAACCAAGTGAGTGTCATAGCAATTAAAGTTATCTGACATGAAAACTGTTCATTTCTTGAATTTTATAAAGTAGATATAAAGGAGCATGTACAATATGCTCTAGCCTTTGTGTAATTTTATCTATCTACCTGTCTGTCTGTCTGTCTGTCTCTCTGCACATGGATGGAAATGGAGAATTCTGGAAGTAATTTTTTCAAAATATTAACAGTTATCTCTGGGTGGTGGGATTTGTGTTGTTAAAAAAAATTCCCGGGCCCTCCCTGGTGGCGCAGCAGGTTAAAGCACAGCACTGAGAATCTAAAGCCGCTTCCTCATGAGTTCGATTCCCGCCTGCCCCGGAGGTGACCACATGGCGTGGCAGACCTCTCCTGACCCGCCCGCTGCTCCCCTCAGCAGTGTACCTCGTTGATCTGCCTGTTCTGCACTCCACTCTGTCTCTGGTGAATTCTCTCACCCTCCGCATCTCTGGCCTGTATCCCAGTTCTGTATGCACAAATAAAATAAAAAAAAAATCTTTAAAAAAAAAATTATCTAAAAATAAAAAAAAATTCCCTTTGTCTTTTTCTGCATTGTTTCAATTTACACTGAGAATATATCTACAAAAACAGCAGAGGCGTTTTTCAAAGGAAATAAAAAGAAAACCAAATTGAAAGAAGGATATGGAGAGTTCTAGGGTTTGGGCCAGGACTATTTGCTGCTCTATGGGGAGTGGCTTGTCCCTGTGAAGTCCCTGACTGATAGGGTGTCCTCTGACCCTTTAGAGGGCTGTAAAGACTTACATGTTCTGGCAGCAGAGTTTGTGATTGTGTCTGCAGAGACATATATACAAAAGGTGGGGGACTGGTTGATAACTCTTGGTGAAAAGAGAAAATAAGGGGAAGAGTGATTCTGTGTGCCAAAGAGGAAAGACCAGGAGAATCTGGAGTTGACAATAGTGTGAATGTTCACCACTTGCCTTGGGGAGGATAGCTTTAACTGACACAAGAATGGTGGTTTTGATTCACCAGTAACCTGTGGGACTGTGGTATCTTATGTAGCCTTTATAATTGCATCTAAAAAATGGAATTTGGTTCAGTTCTCCCTCTCTCTTAATAGGTAATGCCAGCAGGTCCTGCTATCTAGCTCAAAACAGTTCCCAACATAGAGTACAGTTCAAAAATTTGGAGAATAAAGACAAGCTAAATTATTTTTGTAATAAGGCCTTTAAATTAAGAAATATTATATCTTCTGATATTCAACTGAATAATTTCTTACTCAAATGAAACAGAGGGACTTAAATATATATATTTGGGAAATTTGAAAACACTGTTTAAAGATTTTTTTTTTAAGATTTATTTCTGTATACAGAACTGTAGTACAAGTCAGAGGATTCACCAGAGACACAGTGGGGAGCAGAACAGGCAGACTGACGAAGTACACTGCTGAGGGGAGCAGTGGGTGGGTCAGGAGAGGTCTGCCGTGCCATGTGGTCACCTCCGGGGCAGGCGGGGATCAAACTCATGCTGAAATGGCTTTAGCTTCTTAGTGCTGTGCTTTAACCCGCTGCGCCACCAGGGCGGGCCCTAAAGCTGTTTTTAAAGGATTTAAGTCTCCCATTAGTTTCCCATTTGTCACAGCTATTATTTGTTCACCCTTTCCACATTTCCTGCCTTCTTTTTTATTAGTTCAAATTTTTTATGAGTCTATTATCTTGACTTATTTCCTGTATCTTTTCTTTAAGTGGTTGCTTTGAAGCTTAGGGAATGCATCTTTAACTTAAGACAGTCTGCCTTAAATTTATATTATGCCAATCCATATGGAAAAATGATCTTACTATAGGCCCACTTTCCCCTTTCTGTGTTCTATTACTGCCATCCATTTTACTTCTGCATATTTTTGCTTTAGGTGGGCAATTATCTTGTTAAATAATTTGAAAGGAAACGACATTTACTTTTATCCTATTTTCTGGAGTCTTTATTGCTTTCTGTAGCTCTAGATTTCTGATATCAATTTCTTTCATTGGTAAATGATCCTTTACCATTTCTTGTACAGAGGTTTGTTAATGATAATGATTTATGTTAGCTTTTTTATGTCTAAAAGTTCTATATTTCATTCTTGTTTTGTTTTTTGAAAGCTATTCATGCTATATATAGAATTGGCAGTATTTTTTCTTTTGCTACTTTTAAGATTTTAAGTCACTTGCGTTGCGTCTCATGTTCCCCTCTCTACTTCACGTGTCTTCTTTATCCACTAGTTTCCTTCATTTCTCAGCTTTTTCTCTGTAAATTATACAGATCTTTGAGTTTTACTTGGCCTCCCCTTCCCTCTTGTAGCCTAGAAAATCTCTAAGCTTTAAATTGGGGTATTTATAGTACTCACCTCCTTTGGATTTTTTTGTTTGTTTTTGGTTTTCCTTTTGTTTCTTTCAGAAATCACTGTTCAATGTTGTCTTTTGTTCAATGCCTGAAAACTGTTATTTCACTTTTCCTGATTTTTTTCAGTCATTTAAGGCAGGAGGTAATGTGGCCTCTATTATTTCAGTTTTGACTGAAAACACAAGTTATGAAATATTCAATTAGAAAATTAGAAAAATAGCTAAAACATTAAAATTAACTTCTTATTGCAAAATTCCTTCTTCAAAATTTGTTTGTATTTTTCATGAGCTCAGACTTATGAGTTCATTTTAAAAAATTACTCAGTGCCAAAGTCTTTGACATTGTTCTTTTCTTTTTTTAACAGGAAATGTCCAGATGGGATTTTGTAATCAATGCAAATCGGTGATGGGTCAGAAGTTGCTGAATGCCATCAATGAAAATCTTCAAAAGTGTTTGCTTCAAATGTCAGAGGAGATAAAATTGATCTAGCAACTTAAAACTTTGATCTAGAAAAACACACGGCAGAGATTAGAATGTTATAAGTGGGAAAATATATTTGGCTTTGAATGTATTTAATGAAAGGAATCACCACTTTATTTCTCAAGCTGAATTATTTTAAGGCAGTTGCTTGAAAATCTTGACATGATTACCAGAGAGGAGTAGCAGAGCAATAGCTAAAATAGTCAGTCAAGATGACTTCGGAAGAAATGGCAGCTTCTGTTCGGATACCTGTCACTCAGAGAAAAGTGGTCCCTTCCCAGACAGCTATGGATGAAAGTAGTGAAAACATCTCAGATGTCAGCGTTTCAAATGTGCATACAGTCAGGCAGACTTCTCTTACCGTCTCACAACTGAACAAGCATAGAGATGAATCTTCTGAAAGCAACTTGCCTGAGATTCTCTCAATAACAAGAGAGAAAATAATGAGTGATGAGAACAGTAATAAAAACTGCTGGGAGGAAAGCATGCCAGATTCTGTGCACAACCTTAACATTAACTGCAACACCATACTGAAAAACCATCAGTGTGGCCTTCCTAAGAGCCAGTTTTATGAAACATGTGATTCTGTCTCAGAAGAAAGGCTGTGTTTGGAAACTGAAATCCCTTCTTCCCTGGAAAGAAAGGTGTTTCCTGGAATTCAACTGGAAGTAGAGGGACCTCCCATGGACATCAGTCCTTTAGGAAATCAATCAGAGATCGAAGAGCCTGGAACAGCACCCCCTGACAGCAGCATGGCAGTGTTTCGCTTTCATTGTGAAGTTGACAGAATGTCAGATGCTTTCTGTGCCCTACCAGATAACTTGATTTTGGATGATTGTGGAAACTGTGTACCACTCCCTGATGTTGGGAGGGAGCAAAAGAGAAAGTACGTGGCATATACTTGTGAACTGATGGAACTGGCAAATAACTGTGACAATAAGAATGGGCAGCTGCGGTGTGATCATTGTGACACCTTGAATGACACATACTTGTGCTTTAAAGGTTCTTGCCAGAAGGCCAGTGAGGTATTTTCAAGTGATAACTTTTGCAGAGAGGAGCTTGCTGACCGTCCGCCCCCCGAGACCTTTCTGAGCCATTTTGAGGACATCCCTGATAACTGTGAAGATGCAGAAGATTTTTTTAAGAGCAAAAAGGAGCGGTCCACTTTGTTAGTGAGGAGATTTTGTAAAAACGACAGGGAAGTCAAGAAATCTGTGTATACCGGGACGAGGGCAATTGTGAGAACTCTGCCTTCCGGTCACATTGGACTGGGAGCTTGGAGTTACGTTGATCAGAAAAGAAGTGGTTGTTTGTTGCCTCGCGGGAGAGCCATGGAACGTCTGTCAGAGGTGATCAGGCAGGCTGGGAGGCGGTACCGGCCAGAAGCCCAGTGGTATCTGGTAAGGCTTAATGTTCTTCTGTTCCTTTCTTTAAACTTCCTCTTTGACAATCTGTTCTAACTCGAGAAAATTTGAGTTCTGTCAAATTATGATTCTTCAGGGAATCATTTGTCGTTTCTGGAAGCTAGTAAATCCAACCTACTGTAGTTGAAAGTTGTTGAGATTGCGCTAACTGTGCAGTGATATGAGTGAGTTACAAAATACACATGCATGTGTCATCAGGAGTGGAGAAGTTTGGAGGAGCCCCTGGTTACTGTCTGAGATTACAGAACAGAGACTCCTAGTAGTGTGAAAGCGAGTTCATGGATGGTGACCTGATTCTGTCTTTGGGAGATACAAGCTCTTCTACTGTGCGGCTCGTGTAGAGGTGGTGTGGTCTGAAAGACCTTACATCTGGCTTCCTCCACTTCCAATCAGTGCTCTCAGTTTCAGTTTATTTTGTTTTTTTTCCCCTCAACTTGTGTGTGTGTGGGGGGGGGGCTGTGAACTACTTGGATAATGTAGTGAAGTTATAAACTCAAAATAACGTTGTTAATGCCTCAGAAGGTACAAATTATGTATCTATATGTTCATCAAGCTGTTTTTAAATTGTGATGTATTGAGGTTCATTAATATACTAAGTAGTCTTTGATAACAGTCTTATTTTCAAAGTGGTGATGACTACAAGTAGGGAATGGTTTGCCTGGAACTTTCCCAGTTTAGAGCTTGAAAATCCAAGTTCTGGAAGCCACTTGGTCCTGCACAAATTAGGATAGCTCATCCCCCTAATGTAAATACTGATTTAGGGCGTCACCCTGACTGTAATAAATGGAACCATCTGTGACTTCTATTGGTGACATGATCACTGTTACTGCCAGTGCTATTGAGGTTTGGTGCCTACATTCATAAATGAAGCAAGTGTTAAATTTCTCTTTGAGATTATTAAAATATTTTAATCCAAATTTCTGGACTCTGAATTCCATCCACTTCCTGTTTTTAAGTTAAGAATCCTACATTCAGCCTTTAAAATGCACATGATGGGGCTGCCCACTCTTGTACTGGCTCCTTACATTTGGACATGTTTCTCGGTTTTTTTTTTTTTTCCTGGCTAATCAGCCCTGCTTTTCAATTTACCTTCGTGGGGAACTGTTTCTAAAATTCACATTCCAGCTTTTCACAATCCTTAAAACCTGGCCTTATAAATGCCCAGCCTAGGAAAATATTCCTTTTATTGAAAGATCTAGTATGTTTACCTTCACCATCATCATCATAGCTACCATGCATTGAGCACTTTATCTGTGTCAGGTATTAGGCCAGGCAATTTGCATACTTGATTTCTCACATTTATCTCAACTACCCTCTGATTGCTATCACTACTAATCTCATGTATTACTAAGAACATGGAGTCACAGGAAGTCATATATGTTGTCCAAGATCACTGAGCCAGTAGGTAGTATAACTAAGATTATAATTCAGGCAGCTAACACTCATAGGTAGTTTCTCAAAATCCAGAAAGAAATAACATTTGGAATAAAATTTTAAAAGAATAGAGGATTTTGTTCATTAATGATTGACTAACCAAGTCTGCTATGGTAGATTTGTCTGTTAGATTTGGTGATTCTAACTCTGGTTATGTGTTGGAATCACACCTTCCAAACCCCACTCCACATCCTCTGACTCAGAATTGCCATGGTAGGGCACTGAATGCGTTTTTTTTTTCCCCCAAAATTCTATTGGTGATTCTCTGTCTTCTGGACACCTATAGAATTAAAAGCCTCTGATCAGGAACTTAAACTCATTGAGCTCTTTACTTCTCTACCACATGATTTCAGGAATATCTGTTCTGCCCTAAAGACCTTGACATTATTTGGACTCAGGAGTGTCAGAGTTGATGTGGGCGTCTTCCTGGAAAATGACAGTCTGCAAACCCTTCTCTCTGTACGTTCAGCTGTTGCCCTAGAAACAGCAGCAGATCTCACCTGCAGATTCCTCATGTAAGCTGAGTCCCAGGTGTGGTGGTGTCAGCTTTGCATTCTTTGCAGCTCTCCAGACTGACTTTTTTTATGCAGGGAGAGAGCAGCTCATTCTGGGCATGTGTTCTCCCTGCTCAGTGATGATCCCTTCCCCACCCATGAACTGCTGCCGAGAGCAGCACGTTGTCCCACTAAAAGGCAGTGATTTTTATACATTCACATACTCCTGAAGTTAAATATTAAGAAATAACAAAAATTTAAATATAACAAACTTAAGGGAAATTCATCCACATACATGAGTGTTGTGGAGCTGGTATAAATTTCAGAATAATTATTGGCATGCCAATACTATTTGCTCCAATTTCTGGAGCCCAGCTGCAGCTGCTTCTGAGAAGGTTCTTGGGTCCCAAGCCCAAACCAGCCCCTTTCTGTCAGTGGCTAAAAAGGTTAATTTCCAATGAAAAGAACTAAAGAGATGATTCAAATCCTCTCCCTCTGAAGGCTGGGAGAGGTTGCCACACCTCTTTCAAAATGAACTCCAGGAATATCTCTCCCAGGGTGCTCTGAGCATTTTTATTAATCCTTAAAACAGAGCAGGGGATGGTGGGCTGGCTGTACTGTTCTTTCTGGAAAAAAAAAAAAAAGATTCCTGAAAGGGAGAGCTCTTTTTGAATGTTCAGTCACACCATAGCAGGAATGAATCAGTATTTTCTAAAGTATGTTATTCTTCCTGCCCCTTATTTCTTAGTGTAGAGTCTAGTGGATGTCTAAAAGCCTCTCTTGAATATTCTCAAAAGTTGCAAGATGAGTTATAGCCACTTCCCCCTAACTCCTGTAAATTGCATCTTTTGTTTAAAGAAATGCAAACAGAAAGACTGAGCTCCTGATCCTATTTTCTGACATTTCATGTGTATCCATCTAGATTTAGATTTCTCGATCAGATTGTAAACTGAATAAGGACCAGAAGCAGCCCTACTTTTTCCTACTCTCCATAATGCAAGCAAAATACCAAATATCGAAAAGACAGAATAATGTCCTTTGAAGCACAGTCTCAGGGACTTAGTTGGTCTGAAATGGAAGGAATCCTTTGACTCCACCACTCATGCGCCATGTGACTTTGCACAAGTTCTGTAATGTCTTTGTCCCTAATTATCTTCTGTGCACACAGAGTTGTGGTCTTATTAGGATGTTAAATGAAATAATGCCAAAAAGTTGTGCTCAGTTCTGGTGAGAGGTGAGGCTCCTGCTTACTCTGGTCATTTATTCCACGCTTTGTTGCGAACTTGTCCCCACTTACTTCTCTTTCATGTGACATTTACAGTATGTCCTGCAATCTGTGGTGAGGTAGCTTAAGCAAGTCGTCCACACATGTAAAAATTTATTATTTATCCAGTTAGTTCTTTTGCCTCACATTAACATGTTTTTCTTGTCTGCCTTCATCAAAATCCTGCAATTAATTTGTATTTGCACAGCTGTGTGAAGAAGAATAAATTTGAATGGGAGACATTAATAAGGATTAATGCCTGTTGACTTACTAGCCATATTGGTATCCTCCTCCCCCTGCTTATGAAAAAATTAAAACCAACTCCTTATCCAGTTACAGCTGCACTCCTCTCTAGCTCTCAGTTTATTAGCTCAACAAGTCACATATTTTGGCAACTGGCCAGTGTCTCCAGGTTAAAGGTTGGTAAAGGGCGTTTTCCTTTAAAAAATCTGCTTCCTGCCTGAATGTGGGGGGATTTCGGTAGATAGAATTACTCTGAATACTGAAGGACAAGCAGTCCTGCCTCTGCTGGAATCCTCGGTGTGACGGAGTTCCACGTGCACTGCAGATGGAGAAAGTGAGGAGGTGGGGCTATATGTCCATCAGCCCTCTACGGAGCTTCATTGATTCCTACCTTGAGCCACAGGAGGATTTACTAAACAAGAATATGTATGACATGATGGGGGGATTCTAGTGCACTGCAATTAAAAGAACTAATAAATTTATTTTTAAAAGCTAAATATATATGATGATACAGAAAAGGTTTTATTCTTAAAATACCAGACTAGAAAATCTGTAAATTAAAAGGGAAAGTCAAAATCAGCTTCTATATTGCTACCTATTCTGCTTTCTTCTTCTCAAATGTCTTTTTTTCCTTCTCACTTTATTCTGCTTTCTGCAGACAAAATAATTTAAGAGGCAATGAATGTTTTTTGAATTAACCTTTGTGGATATATCTACATCCTTGACTCATTATTTTGTCTTTCAAGTTGATTTGAAGGTAAGAGAAATAGGATGTCTCTATTACACTATATTCATCTTCTAAGTTGTAACTTTTGTAGATGATCAAGTATCAGTTGAGTCCTGTTGTTTGGTATTGGAATAGAGACTATTGAAATAGCATCATGTCTTGTTTACTTATCTGAAATTCAGTCTTCCTGCAGCTTGGGTACAGTTTGGATCTGAAATAATTAAAATTTCACAGGGTGCTGAGGTTGAGATAGGAGCCTTGGAGACATGCCAGATTGCTCTTTCTACTCAGGGTTATGTCAAATGCATGACATAGAATGATGCTGGCTCCTTTTTGCTTAGCAACCCCCATGCAATTTAGTCATATCTAATGGATCAATGGAAAATGTGACAGGTGATCAGAGGTCAGCACTGTGATGATGGGATGGTGTTCCTTATCAGCTACAGTGAGGCCATTCAGGATAAATACACTTCCATCATTTTGGCTCAGATTTGGCAAAAATTAGAATGAAAAGTCCTCTATCTAAAGGTCACTGTGATTCTCATGGTGTTTTGGGGGCAGTATCAGCAATAGGATTTCCCCACCTTTCCTGTTGAGTGCCCCACATAATGGCAATAGACAGCTGGAAAGGCCCCATCCCAGGGTAGAAAATGGCCCCAAAATAGCCAAGTAGTGTCTCACAAGTGCTAACCTTGTACTTATTCGTGACTGCCTTCTTATATTTTGAGCCCTAGACAGTTTACTTCTCTCATCTTACTCCTAGTTCTAGGTTCCAGGGTCTAAGAGGATCAATGGTTTAGAAATGTGCATCAAT